TATTCTAACCACCATAAAATCCAATATGCAAAAATATACACGCCATCTGCAGATACATAAGGAAGTGAAATCCAGCATGAATCTATGCATTTGAATCTCTAAATACTTCCATTATGTTTTATGATGCTAATAATAGACAGCAGGGACTTGAAGCCCAAAACTAAATCATGACAGAGATAATGTAGAGCCCTTCTTTTTAATACTTGCATAGAAATAATTCCATCTGCCATATTTTTTCTTTCTGAAGCACTGGCTTCTGGTTTGGTATAATCAGGAGATATAAGAAATGTAACTGCAAGGAAATACACTTTTGTTAACTGGACTTATTAGTTTTTATTGCACTAACTTGCAAATCATTGTCTTTCTGTCAGCACCTTCTTTCCACTTGCCTCATTTCATTTCTCTTAATGTTTTAAAAAATGGATCTTACTTTTCAGTAGTTAAATATGACATTCACACATTTAACTTCACTATCAAGTGAAAAACAGGTAGTAAGAATGACTGTTTTAAATGGCTGAAAATAAAAGGTGTAGAGAAGAGAAAGATACTATAGCAGTGCTAGTTTTACAAACACAAAATTCAAGATGTATCTCTTCTCAGACAGATTTAGTATAACAGACTTGAAGTCAAGTTGAGAGAACTAAGCGATGCCAAAGAAACAGCAGATGAGACCTGTCAGCAGAAATAAATATTTTTATGTGAACAGAAACTGTATACATAAGGTACATTCAAAAATGTAAAAGGTCTTAGAAGGTGGGCCAGGGGAATAACTAGTTTTTAACTAGTGCCTGACCCTAGTTTATCAGCAAGTACATATTTTGTACTTAAAAATTCAAAGTATGACCTACTTAAAACAGTGTCAATCTACTGGCATTCCTTTTCGTGAGCTGCATAAATAAAATTTCAGTGCATAAAAAGAGGAATCTGTGCAGGGGAAACTGAATTGCCATTGCAAGGGCACCTTTCTACTAGACAGATACAAACTTTTGTACCAAAAGGAACTAAATTATTTCCAATGCTTTGTTCAATGATTTCTCACAGACTATGAAGCCACTTTTCATACAGTCTATGTAAGCAATAGGAAACTAATTAAAAGGGATATTAATACCTTGCAATGCACACAGGATTAATCCAAGTCATAAGGACAGAACATGTGAATTAGAATAAAGCAAACTGAGAGGAAAAGCCATGCAAGAAATGCAACCACTATCATAGCTTCAGACTCAGAAACAAAATTAAATTTTCCTTGACATGCTCTGAAAATTATATCCTGTGTGTTGATGAAGACCCAAACAATTCACCCTGATTCCTGTCATAATTACAATATATCAATAATTGTTTGCTACTAATTATGAATTTATAATATCTACTCTAGTAGAATTTAATTCTAGTGATAATGCACCATTTCTGATCTCATAGCCCTGGATCTAAAAGGAAAATGACTACTTATTTTTGAATAGCAAGTTAAGATCAAGAAATATAGATTATATGTTTGTAGAGAATTATTAATTCTATATGGACAAGTCATCAAAAAAAAATTAGAGAGCATGAAACACCTCATAAATCCTATTGGAACTTAGGGATTAACAGTTTTCACATGCATAGAGGTTCAGAAAATAGATCACTACTGAGCAAATTTTCATTGCTGCTTGTTTCAAAGCTCTGTAAATTACAGGGTATTTTTAAAGCCATACACTTTATAAAATGTGATGTAACAACAGAAGTTCTGCACCTGGAAAACCAGTTACTAAATATTGAAGTTACCCCATTAACCTTGCTTTTTTTTTTTTTTTTTTGCCTCCACTGCTTGGATCAAAAAGAGACACTAAAAATAAAAACAATTAATGTAAAAGATGACAAGATAAATGAGATCTGTAGCTAATAGAAGAAAATAACAATTTGAAATACAAACAACTCTTTCAGTATGACAGGAAGTTGATTTAGGAAGAGGAGACATTAGAAAGTGACTTTTATCTACACTGATTCAAATATTCAAATAATATTCCAGACATACAGATCAGGTTCAAAGTTCAACTCTTGGAACATCCTATGAAGTTTTAGCTTGGATCATGTCCTAACCCTTCCTTTCTTCCAAAACAGTATCTATAACTTTTATTGCTGAACCTGTTAATATAACTTGGAGAAGTCAATATATACCTGTCGTCCGATTGGGAACGGCGAGGAAGAACGACACGGGACTCTCAAGGGAGTCACAACACGAGAATTCCTAGTTTATTGCTTCATCCCTGTCTTATAGACAGATACGTGGAAAGTACAGAAAAGAAACTCTTATTGGCTAGCAAAGTGCTACATCACCATCATTGGTCAGGGGCATTCTGCCCCCCTGACTCTCTCCTGCAAGGAGAAACAAGAGGACAGACAAACAGCACCTGGCAGTTGTTTTCTGTCTCTGAGGATTGTTTTGAAATCCTCCTTTGAAATTCCCAGGCTAGCTTCTCAGGCAGGACTGAGAGGCCATGGGCCTGCATTTTCTGCAGCTCCCTGCAGCCTGTTCCAAAGCTAGCATCCATATATACCTGCCATGGAGAAGATGTACTAGGACATATTTTCACAGAATTCACAGAATCAGTAAGTTGGAAGAGACCTTCAAGATCATCGAGTCCAGCCCATGTGCTAACACCTCAACTAGACCACAGCACCAAGTGCCACATTCTGTCTTGTTTTAAACATTTCCAGGGATGGTGACTCCAGCACCTCCCCAGGCAGAACATTCCAGTACTTTATCACTCTTTCCATCAAAAACTTTTTCCTAATATCCAACCTGTATTTCCTCTGGCACAGTTTAAGACTGTGTCCTCTCTTTCTGTCAGTTGCTGCCTGGAGAAAGAGACCAACCCCCACCTGACCACAGCCACCTTTCAGAGAGTTGTAGAGAGTGATAAAGTCACCCCTGAGTCTCCTTTTCTCCAGGCTAAACAAGCCCAGCTCCCTCAGCTGTTCCTCACAGGGTTTGTGTTCCCAGCCCCTCACCAGCCTCATTGACTCCTCTGGATGCACTCAAGTGTCTCAAGGTCCTTCCCAAACTGAGGGACCAGAACTGGACACAGAACTCCAGCTGTGGCCTCACCAGTGCTGAATACAGGGGAAGAATGACCTCCCTGCTCCTGCTGGCCACACCATTCCTGATCCAGACCAGGGGCCACTGACCCTCTTGGCCCCC